AATCCTTTCTATACTTCTGATATCTTGATTCATGATCCCAACAAGCATAAAAAGTAGCATCAATATGACCATGTGAAAATGATAGTAAGTTAGTGACGAACTTTTAATCATTTTATGATTGATGAAAATGATTTCTGTGATGCATAAATAGACACAATTTCTCTCTTTTTATANGACTATCGTCGCGCATGAAACGCGACATTTCGTTCAGTTTATCACGGGATCGAGACTTATAACGGATCGGTTCTATGTTGACGTTCGTGATCGCCATTCGCACTTTAATCAAATCTTATGCAACTATATTTAAAATTATAATATTATATTATTATATATATATATATATATATATATATATATAATATTATAATTTAATATAATAATTATATTATTATATATTATATTATTTTTATTATTTATTATTATTATTATATATTATATAATTATAATATTTAAATTATAATAATGTACTAAGATTGGGGATGAAGCTATTAAGCTTACTAATCGCTTTAAAGTATATTAGATATCAGAAAGCCACCTACGGTACAATTATGTTTGATGCAATCTGTCCAATAAGCCGTCACTGAAAACTTGGGTCTCAAAACGGTCGGTATACCTTTCAAAATCGCAAAACCCACTCCTAACATACCACCAGCAGTGTGGTACAATGGATTTGGATTGTATAAAGTATCGTTCGATTTCAATCCGAGCAAGTTAAACGGCATTACAACCAACAAGAACCTGGAAACAAATAATTCATTTTTATTAATAATTCTTAGCACTTATCATAATGTATAAGAATTATTGATTAAATTGTTAATTGGCAATTAGTTACTTGAATAAAATATTTATCGCTGCTGTAATTATAATTTTATGCGTTTTCATTTTATTAAAAAATTTGTGTGTGTGTGTGTATGAGCTCTGGAGGATATATGTGTATTGAGAATATCTATACATATTTAAACTTCATATAAAATTGAACATAAGAGCGTCATGAGAGATTAATTTTAATAATTACCCTGAAAATTAAGAGATGATACAACTTTATTATTATGATAAAAAATTCAATTTCAATTTTTATTTTTTGTTAAATAATTGAATTGGTCGATTTTATTTAAATGTACAAACCCTAATTAAATTATTTCATCGAACGCAATACGATGCGTGAATGAAATCAGCATATATTTAGAGTGAAAATTATTAGGGGAGAAAGAGTACGATATTCTATTAACAAAACAGTCATAATGCAGGTAGACAGGAAGCAGACCCGAGCAAAGTCACGAAGTGCATTTACATGTAATCCCATTCTCGACGAGTCGTAAGGCTTTCCTGAGAGGATTATAGATCATTTATACGTTCAGTAGGGAGATAATTCATTCTGCTCACGAAACAGTGTCTGAGTAAGAATAAATGAAAGTTTAAAAAACTCTTACGGCAGATAATGCCAATCAATCGAAACATCATTAATTAACATCGAATAGGACCTTCGATCAAAATAATTAGGAAATAAGGATTTTAATGGGCAAAAAGTATCGGACAATTGTCGTGCATTTAAAAGTTGTCGTTTTAACGTCTTTCAAGTTGTTTAGAAATTATTTATTGAAAATATAAATATGAAATAAGCATACAAAAAGAATAAAAACGATATCTACGTAAAGTTTATATACCGTGGTAAGTTGTTACGCGATTATAAGTTTCCACATGACATTTGTGCAGTTTGCAAAGTATGTACCACGTGTACATGGCTGAATTGATCCACATGGTTAATTAATATTTTATCGTTCTGTTTCACTTTTCGTTTCAAAAGTCAATTTAACGATTCCTGGATAGCATACTACAACAAACTATATCGTCAGAATTAAATCAACTGAGTAAAGCCAACATTTTTCATTTATGTTTTCGAGTAGATGCAATTAAAATGAGAGATAATATCCGAGGGGATCCAATTTTTTTGCTGCCGAATAATTGTAATGGCAACGTTCTTTCACCAAACAGAAATAATACGTATGAGAATAATATTTATATGTATTCCAACGACAATATATTTGATCACAAATACAGCATTTCATCATAACCATCCACTTTAGCGACGAATTCCAGAGAAATAACGTTTTGACGCATCGCTTAAAGTGACCTACATACACGTTGATCGATATTTTTACATAATATATCAACTCTTGTGTTAACGATTGTCGTGGATTCTCGGTTATAAAACTTGACAATTCGCAGACCTTGACCATGTTACGTAGTTGAAGCAGATTGGCGAAAAGATAAATTACGTTTTTTTCAGGAAGTAAAACCGTCGTTGTGCCTCTTGTTATGCATCATTCAAACCAAAGAACACGCGACAGCTTGGACTGCGCTCTTAGTTTTGTGAAAAAATATTTCTGAGGTCGCTAACACTTATAAATATTCATAGTTAAAAATTAGAATGTGAAATATACACTTCTCTATTTCCTTGATAACAGTTCTAATGTGTAGCTGCATTAATAATAATCTAACTGTAAACGACGTTTCTAGGAGCCATTTTTCAAGATACCAGTTTTTACGAATGCAAATCGTACCATACGAAACGGAAGTGGCATAGTGAGTATTAATATTCATGAGTGTACAACCATGGTCTCATCGATAACTGTAAAGAAGAAGAACTGCGAAAGTATCCATTTAGTTCCGTCAACGCATAAAACGACGTTCCCACCATAATTTCGTATCGAGCTCTCTGACGGTGATTCGTGTTTCCCCGTGTCATTATGAAAAATTATTGATACGTTTTGCTTTGCCTGATGAAACAGCAACGTGAAAATAAAGCCTTTTTTTTAAAAGAATGTATTTCAAAGTCGTATTAAAGAGAAGAAAGTTTAAATATCCATTCATTAAAATGTTAACTTGCTAGTCCAGAGAAGCAATTCTTACAGCTTTAAGTAATTCTTGCTTTTCTATGTGCATCAGTTAAGCTTCAATACTGCGGATTTTACGCAATTTTGTCAAAAATGAGCGAGTGAAATGCAACACGACAGCATTTAAAGAATTTAAAAATAGCGTTGCATTAGTTCGAGTTGATTAAAATTATTAAGACACGGAATAAGTTTCCACGCAGCTCCTGTATCTTACAATTGATGGAAAGAATTTTTATTTTCCATACAAATCTAAATCTAATATCACTAAGTATCACTGATATCATCTTACCTTGAATTGGGCACAATCGCCACTTTCGGTAGACCCGTGGTACCGCTAGTGTAGATGTAAATCAACTTGTCCCTGTATCCAATCTCTTCTGTCACAACCGGTTCCTCTGTGCCGGCTTCCGCTAGCAATTTATTCAAATTCTGCACGCCGATTTCGTCTTTTTCAGGGTTGGTGTACACCTTGTACATCTGTACATTCGGCATCGAGTCCTTGATGTCGTTGATGGCTAAAACAAGAATTGACATTTCGCACGTTTTTTATAATCGTTCACCGTCCGTAGTTCCTGTGCCCACACCTTTGCGAAGACTGCACGGAAATAGCAACTAACTCAAAGGGCTCGGAGGCAATTATCAAAGTAGGTGAAAAATTGTAGTTAAATATAGTCACGAGCCAGCATGTCAATGTTCAATTTACCGATACTATTCTCCAATAAATTTGTGTATTTCTTTACAGTCTTTATTACTCTCGGTTTCGAGGAATTTTGAAGAGTCAAATTTTTTCAACTTCTAGAATCTGTTTTCCTTCGATCGTGATTTATGCGAACGATGCTTACAGAGAACAGTATATTTTCGTAGGAAGTTATAAACAATTTAACGTGTTCAAACAATGCGCAAGGAGAACGAGACGTCTTCGACAACGCGCCGATTTTGTTGAACATTTTTCTGCTTATTTTGAAAGCGTTTTCGAGTGTTTACGAATTTATAATATTGGTACGAAGTTCCACTGCGTGGCTGAACTATATTCAACGTTGCCCTGGACAATGAGAACATTTCATTAAAGATAGCAAGCGTGTTTGCGTGATCCTGCTTGATTACATTATTCACAATGCCACTTAAATCTCATAATTGTTTTCACCCGTCAGCCTATCGTAACTAATCACAGGCCTCTGCACCTTAAAGAGGAACTCGCGAATCCTTCGAGGCAACGCGAAATTTTTGCAAGAGTAGCAAATCGGTTTTAACCGTGTTTAAAGTACAATCGAGGTTTCAGAAAAGCTCAAGTTGTTTGGCGCAATTTTAAGAATGATAGTTCGGTATGACATATATTTTATTAATATATTTTATTAATATATATATATATATATATATAGAAAAGAAAAAAGTAACAAATCTTGCACAAGTGATACACAGTTAATAAAAAATATATATATATGATGACTTAATATTTCTCAAAGAAAAAAGTAACAAATCTTGCACAAGTGATACACAGCTAATAAAATATATATATATTTTTTATTAACTATGTATCACTTGTGCAAGATTTATTACTTTTTTCTTTGAGAAATATTAAGTCATCTGTGATGAACAAAGTCCATTAAGCCTGAAGATATTTTAATCGAACACCCTGAATATGTCCAATGATCAAAGTGACCGGATCTGATTTTTTAAATTACTATCGGTACAGTTAAAAATTACTACGTGCAGTAAAAATAATGTACTATACAAATTTCCATAGAAGTGCTGTTATGCCCTCAACGATTGTAAAACTAAAATTTCTCAAACCAGAGAATTTACAAGGGAATTAATTCAAGTTGGAATCTTCTGACAGTAATATACAGAGGATTGTGCACGAACTTTTTAAGCTTACAATTGCTCTTTAAAGAAACGTTTCTCCTGAAAACATCTTTCGATCGTAAATAAGCAGCGACGTAACAGCAAGGAACGAGAGATTGCGCCGAGCATGATCAGCAGAATGTTTTTCCCTTGTTGTTATCGTTGTTATACATATAGCCCTTACGGAATATTTACCGGACGAATAATCTTCCGCGTAAATGATGCTCTTCACCTCGGCTATACGAAAGCAATGAATTAACGACTGGAGTCGTAAGTTTGTGTTGATTAGAGCCGTCACGACGCCCAGCTTTCCCAGTCCGAGCCAGATCGCGACGTACTCTGGCCTGTTCGGCATCATCAAAGCCACAGCATCCCCTTTCTTGTACCCTGCCTTTTGAAACACGGACGCAATCTGGTTGCTGTACTTGTTAATCTGCAATCGATAAACGCAGCCGTATTAATTACACTAATTAGTTGTTAGACAGACGTTTTACGGTCTGATCGATGTTTCAGTCGAAGAAATATTTACTCAACGATTTCGTCTGTTGCAAAATTACCAAAAAAAAATTCGAACATTCTGTTTTATTTAAACGACAGTTGAAAATATCTAGAAGAGACTTATCGTTAAGCTTTGAACACGTTTGTTTGAAAACGATTGCAATAAAAGCTTCCACGTGTCCGCATTGTTATTCGGTGAATTTTCAAACGATTATACAATGACTCCGTGAATGTTTAGACATTCAAGTGGACGAGTTCGTGTTATAATTTATATTACTATTTTGGTATTACTCACTTATTATTTAATTAGCTGAATATAGAATAATATATATATATTATTATATGAGTAATACAAAAATAGTAATATAAATTATATAATAATAATATATAATAATATTATAATATTATAATAATATATTATATAATAATAAAAAATATATATAATATAATATAATAATGTAATATATAATATAATAATAAAATAACATATATATACTATAATAATAAAACAATATATAATATATTAATAGAATATAGAAACATTCTTTTGTTTCTATATCCGGCTAATTTAAACTACGAAATGAATAAATTTGTATAAAATGTAAAGGAATCATGTTTTCCGAGTATTGACTAAGCGAACAACGGTGTTTCAGGATTCACCGAGCAAACTTCATCGGTATGATTTACGAACAGGAGTAGGAAGAAACCGTCGTATAAATATAGTCCATTTGAAGGTTCGTTAAAAATAATTTTCTTATAACAGTAGACGACGATGGTAAAAGTGATAGCAGTAGATCAATAAGCAAGAAAATCTACTGCAGTCGACTCCAATAAAGTACCAAAAGCTAATTTTGAACGTTCTACTACGAAGTAATTGCGTCATTAACGACAACTACTACTGCTACTAAATATAAGGTTTAAATAGTTTAATGTTCCATTGATTCTGATAATGAATTTCCCATTAGCGAATGTTCTGAAAATTGATCATTTCAAAGATCAGTACCTATTACAACATATCTATTTACCTAGGCACCTACTTAAGCACTAGTAATCTAATTAGTGGACTCTGGACGCTCGAACAAGCTTTTATTTTTCTCAAATCCGAATCAAAGAGTTTCGCGTCAGCTTAAAAGATTATTTAAATTAGCAATAAATGATAAAGTTAATTAATTATTTTCACATATACGTTTATATTTATAGCACGATGTAATAAACATAATATCTGCTGTACAGTAATCTGTTTCAGGCTAATGAAATTTTATATCAGCGTTTCGAACCTCTACTTTGTTGCTTGTAATGCTTTGTTTTCTACGCAATAAAATGACTAGAAAAAAAAAGAGCGAACATTTTAGTGGAGAGTCGATTGAAACGTACGTCAGAATTGGTCCAAACACGATCCTCCATGATGAAACATGGCTTCGTGGGGTAACGTTCCACTCTCTTCTTAAAAATCTTCGTGACAGTCATATTGTTCCGACGTTGGACTTTCATCTCAAGCTCAGCCGTTATAGCACGATAAAGAAATCTGAAACACAAAGTTAATTTTTACAATGTAATGCGCGTCGTTTGAATTCGACGCGTTACTCCGCAATCCATCATCGAAATGTGCTCCATTTCCATGCTGGTTGTTGATTCTAAATTCAAACGCGATGTTCACGTTCTTAATCAGCATTTCAAAATGTTTCTTTTTCTTTTTTGTTTAAATTCATAGCACTCTCTTAACGCACATTACTATAATAAGCAATGTTTTGAATTTATTTAATTAATATACAAGAACTGAAATATTAATCGTTGGGTACATTTCGTTGCTAAATGTGTACATGCATACTCGAATCTAAAAAATATTATGAAACTTTGTACACGTGTAGCACACCTGTTCAAAATTTAATTAGGTTCACATGGGTTGAATTGTCTCTAATAATAATGTCTCTAATAATAATAAATAATAATAGTAATAATTTACTAATAATTTAAGAACTGTCCGTCCAGTTCACGCTGCATTCGCCATTGATCGTCGTAATTTGGTAATAAAAATACGCATAAACTAACAAGCGTGTTCATTTCCGGATAAACCTATTTGATATCCTCGTCACGTTACGTATCCTTGCCGCGAAATTCAGCAACTTTTAAAAATAGCTTCTTATAAAGAAGAGCTTCTACGTGATTGAGTACACGAAAACAAATTCATGCATGTACCAGTAGTAGCATACAGTCTATAGAGAATGCACAAGAATGTGCAGAACTTCGCGCTGCTTTTCCATCTAACGCTTTGAATGTGACTTGCACAATTTTTTCATTAAACTTGAAAATTAGTTTTTATTACTATTATTTATTGAATTTCATTGCTATTATTTACTATATTTTATGCTACCAGGTGTAAGATTTTGTTAGATTCCACGAGATACGAAAGGGTTGGAAAAAGCAATTGTGGTGGATAATCCTGATGTTTATTGCTGTAATATTAACGAAACCATTTGTTCTGTTTCCGTATGCCTTTTATGGACACTGGTATGGCTGCGGGCATGGTGTATAGCACCGGACAGCTATTCTGTCGATACACCAAAGCGCAAATACGTATTAATCATTCATCGTGACTCTGTAAATCCGTTGGCAGAACTTTGCATAAATGTTAGAGAATAAAAATATAAACTTATTTGTGAGAGATAAGTATGTTTAAGTAGCATTTCATACTACGTTTCGCATTTGAGACGATAGCGACACGACCTTTGGAATGCTTCTAGAATATTCCATGTTCAAAGATAATTTAAAAAAAGAAAAGAATCACGTTCCCTCTGTTAATATATATAATTTAAATCAATTTAAATTATTTGAGATTTTTGCGGAGATTTTTTCGTGAGATTGATAACTCGCAATGCTTCCACAGAGGAAACGTGATCCTTTTTTTTTTAATTATCTCTAAACGTTTGTAATTTAATTTTCGCGTTAATAATGGATACGAAGTTCAAGTTCGCATTAATGTATTGTACGATACGATCGGTAATAAAACAATTTAGAATTATATCGAAGCAGGTAGTATGTTATTTAAGTAACTGCTCGAAGATGAATTTCTTTAAGCATCGTTCACGTTTACGAGTGTATACGTAATAGATATTAAAAGCCGAAGATTTCCTCGATTTCTCTCAACTAGCAAGAAAATAGAAATCTTCTTCGTTTTACAGTAAAAGAATGTTTACAACGAAGTGCAAATATTGCCGATAACGTTACTAATAGTAAAAGAGATACGAGAGCGCATTGCAACTATCTGTGGTTATCGTGAAACTGGTTCACATCATTTATATAATACATCAGTATTTTGCGTCCACACATTTGGGAACTATAAGTAAATTCTCCGCACTTGACACTCGGATTGTACAAAAAAATGGACAATTTGGGGAGAGGAGATACGATTATTCGAGCCTTGCCGCTCGTTTTTATAGTTGTTGGCAATCGGCTGCTCAAAATAGGTACAGTAAATTAGTTACAGTAATTGACGCTCGGACTATGCATAAAAATGGACCATTTTGGAAGAAAAGATACGATTATTCGAGTCTCGTGGCTCTTTTTTATAGTTACCGATTGTCAACAACAATAAAAACGAGACTCGAATAATCGTATCTTCTCTTCCAAAATGGTCCATTTTTATGCATAGTCTGAGCGTCAATTACGGAGAATTATAGAATACGATTATTCGAGTCTCGTGGCTTTTTTTTTATAGTTACCGATTGTCAACAACAATAAAAACGAGACTCGAATAATCGTATCTTCTCTTCCAAAATGGTCCATTTTTATGCATAGTCTGAGCGTCAATTACGGAGAATTATAGAATACGATTATTCGAGTCTCGTGGCTTTTTTTTTATAGTTACCGATTGTCAACAACAATAAAAACGAGACTCGAATAATCGTATCTTCTCTTCCAAAATGGTCCATTTTTATGCATAGTCTGAGCGTCAATTACGGAGAATTATAGAATACGATTATTCGAGTCTCGTGGCTTTTTTTTTATAGTTACCGATTGTCAACAACAATAAAAACGAGACTCGAATAATCGTATCTTCTCTTCCAAAATGGTCCACTTTTGTGTACACTCAGAGCGTCAATTAGGGAAAATTTACTTTAGTGTCTATCGGAATCATTGACACCGATTTTGCAAAAACTCTTCCTGTACTTCATTTTGACATGTAATCCAAAAAATAAGCGACGTACTCGACTTCTTCTTCCGAACATTTTACTCACGCTTCAACGGTAAATGTTTGCAACAGCCTTATCTATGTGTGCCAATGAGATACCTAATTATCGATAGTTCCTTATTGCGATTACTGAAATGTGTGCTAAAAACGTGCGTCGTGATACATAACAATAAGATCCAAAATAACCGGTAATAACTTGTATGCGTATATTACAGCGAACGTCCTTCTTCTTTTAATAAAAAAAAGAATAGTACCAGCATTTTTAATTTACATGTGGATCTATTTAAATGAAGAAAATTTATGAGATGTTCAGGGCATTGTGACGTCGTTATTAGTCACCGCGTATTTTTTATTTAGGGTGTTTATCTTTTTTATGCGATGTCACCATCGTCAGCATGAATATCAGACAAGGTCGGGCAGGAAAGGTGCGTAACTGGAACAATTTACGGCATTCTACCTGTTTACGTTATTAAAACACTCGCAAGCCAGTTATTCCTTCATTCTCTTTAGAGTGAAAGTCGTTTGGGAAACAGTTCAGTTTAAGAAGTTACCGTAGATCAGTTACTGCATTGATGAAAATGCGTCTCGTGACAATTTAACCCGTTGAACGCCACGTCACCCATATCTGGGTGACGACTGTTTCCGCGGTCTTCGTTCAATTAAAACAGGATTTTGGAAGTAATTTATAGTAATTTTATTCGTAACACAACTATGACGAGTATAGACAATATAGGGTAACAATAAAGTATAAAGTAAACAAAAACAAACATTAAAGATATACTAATAATAAAATAAAATAATAAAATATAAAATATACACCTCTACTAACAAATTATAGTTATATTGAAATTTGTTTTAAAAATATTATAACGTTTTATTGGTTACGATGGGATTCGTTAAAACATTGTAAACATAATTGGGGTGTAATTTAAAATTCAAACTAATGTTCTCGAACGTACAATCTCGAGGATGATCGTCGTTCGCAGAAAGTTATAATTTTTACTAAACGTATGCATCTGTCGTTAATACAATAAAACGTGTTGTTATTTTCGCATACGTCTGCAATTATTTCTTTCATTTCCGAGCTGGTGTAACGCCCCAAGGACATTCCATTACATTGCATGCTACTTAATGAATTCATCGCGACTGTCGTACAGACACTTCTTCCTTTCTAAACATTTGAAGATTATTCTTTTGAACGGAAATTATTGCGAATACAAAGAGAGATTGCAAGAGATTGCAAGTTCTCGCAGCTTAATTTTATCGACGAATTAAAAACATCTGGGAACTGACTTGCACTGTATTTTCCGTAGCAACGGAGAAATAAAGCTACGTTAAATACCA